CCCTTGCTCTCAGGGCCCCGCCCCTGCTCTCAGGGCCCCGCCCCTGCTCTCTCAGGGCCCCGCTGGGCAGGGCTGCACCTGCGCTGCTGCGGGAATGGCATCTGCCTTGCCCAGCTGCTCATGATCCACACACCAGCCACACGATGCCAAGGTGACCCCTGCTATCAGATGTCCGGGCCTCCGCAGCAAACCGCAACAGGCGGCCAAAGCGCAGGCCTCGCCTGTGGCTGACTCTAGGACTACGGTGGGGGGTCCTGTGACTCGTACCCTCCTGAGCCCCCAGAGGAGTGCCCCTTTGAGATGTGCACCTGCTTCTCTGTGATCCTGCATGGAGGAAGCAGAGAAGGCATGCTGGAGGCGAAGTCTTCACCAGTCTTCTGAGGCTAATGCTACACCAGACTGGCCAAGTTGTAGGAAAAGGGCTGCCGTGGGGCCAAAGTCTGGGCATAGCAACACCCTCCCACTAGCCGTGGAAGGGGTGGCGTGAGACCTAGCCAGACCCACGGTGAGCCCATGCATGCAGTGGCAGGACAGGACTCACTGTTTCTGTAGGCAGGGACCTTGCCATCTGCTACGCAATGGAATTAAACTTGGTGTGAGACTCAGAAAGAACAGCCGATGTTCAAACCACAGCACTGGGTCATTTGTAAGTTTTATTGGGCTCCGTTCTGGAGGCCAGAATGTCTAACATAGCACTGATGCCTGGCAGGGGCCTCCTGCCACACTGCTGTATGTCGCAGGCTCTGCAGGCTGCTAGCTCCCGCTTTTTTCTCCTGATGGAGCCCCTGATGCCATGTGGGGACCGTCCCCCGTCACCTCCCCAGGGCTCTGCGCACATGTGCTAACACAACCGACACACCAACAGACCTATCCACCTTCAGCAAACAGCTGTGCCAGGCTCCGACACCGACGCCACAGACCCCTGGAAACAGTGGCACCCACAGCCCCAGTCCTGCGAACCACTGTAAGTGCCCCCTTGGGGTCTCCAGGGTGGCTGGCCATGCCCCACCCTGCTCTCCCAGCCAGAAAGCTGCCCTGGGACCACCTCCAAGCCCAGAACGGCATGCAGGACACACAGAAGCATGGCCTACCCAGCCCGGCATGGCTTTCCCTGGTCTCCTGCCTCACTCATCCTGCAGTGGGGAGCCCAGGGGACCACCCCGCACCCACGAGGATGCTGTGTCACAGCAAGTGCCCAGCAGCTCGAGTGGCCTCTGGAGCTGGCACAGCTCCCTCCTGTCATGCGAGGTCTGTGCCCGTGCTGCTCTGGGGCTGAGGGGATGCTATTGTAGAGGCCACAGCTTCCCCCTCCCTGTCCTTCCCGAGCTCTGCCTTCTCATAAGCACAGAAACTGTTCCTACTGGGGAGTGCAGGGCACACTTCCACACACATCTACTGTGCGTGAGGCAGCCAGGTAATCACGTTTCCCTCTCCTTAAGTGGGACCATTTTTCCACAAGGAAGATGCTTAAATCCCCTCTTGGAGCTATTTTGAAAAATAAACCATGACTTGTAGCTTTTGAGGTCCTTGCCCTATCCTGTTCCTGTCTCATTTGGGTGGGGCCACATGGATAGGTGAAAACCCCACATGCCCGCCATGGAATGTCACTCAGCCCCATGAGGAGTCCTGTCGTTTCCAACAGTGTGGATGTGCCTGGAGCACATCAGTCACAGGAAGACCAGTCCTTAGTCCTCTGCATCAGGCAATGGAGCTGCTGCCCAAGACCCCAGCTGCAAGGTGGCGGAGGGGTAGGCAGGGAGGCCAGGCCCTGCAGAGGCGGCTGCTATGGAGGAGGTGGTAGGCCTCAGGCCCACAGTGCAGGGCAGGGTGGTATTCACAGCGGTTTGTTAGGGTTTGAGGAAGAACTGGGAGAGGCGCTCTGAGAGGCCCAATGCTGCAGTGTGGTCAGCGTTTGGGGTGGAAATGCCGGTCGCTCTGCTGCTATCTGCTAGTGTGCACACAGGCATCCTGCCATTGTGTCCACAGGCCGGCCGGAGGGGCTGCAAGGCCTGCCTCCTCCTTCCCCCACCTAAGGGCCCTTGAGTGCCTCACCTCCTCAAATTAAGCTCGAGGAGCAAGGCCTTGGATCAGGGGCAGCTTTGGAGCCTGCTTGGCCTGTGCCCCCCTCTACTCCAGGGCTGGGCAGCTGGCAATTCGGTGCTTCTGTCTCACTCCTGGGTAAAGCTGGGTGGTACCACCAGCTACCTGGGATGGGGACTGCCAGAGGAGGTGGGGACAAGGGCCTATATGCTGAAAGGGACCCAGACAGGCAGCCATACTGCCTCTCAAGGACTGCAGCCTTTTGCCAGGGCCTGGGCAGCAGGGAAAAGATGCAAACAGACTCTGACAGTGGAGTGCATGGCGCAGGCTGCAGGTATGTCCTGGGTGACACGGCTCCACTCTGGTGGGCCTCTGGCCCCAGCAAGGGACTCACAGGCCCTCCTACATCAGCCGCTTCATGCGCCGGTTGTGCTTGTCTGTGGTCAGGGTGGCGTGCTCCACGGCAGTGGTGATGCCCTCCAAGGCTGCGTCCTGTCGCTCCAGCTCTGCCTCAGTGTCTAGCGCTAGCCCTTTCAGCTTCCGGAGGATCTGGGTAGAAGCACAAAGATAGCAGAGGCAGCCTCTGTCCATGCTAGCAAATGCGTGCCCTTCCCTTCAGGAGCCTATGGAGCAGTGCCAGGGCAAGGCCTCAGTGCTCAGGGCCACCCTGTGGTCCTGGCTGCAGGTGCCCACCAGCCACCAGCCCCTGGTGCCCTCCACCTGTGGCCCCTTCCTCATGGGAACTGTCTCAGGCATGGTGTAGGGTGCTCCCACTCCTGCCCCTGCAAGGTGAGAGAAACAAGACTGGACAGGAGAAGCAGGGCCCTTTCTCTGGATGTGTGATCAGTACACACACACACACACACGCACACACACACACACACACACACCCCACCTCACACAGACACAGACACAGATGCAGGACCTAGTGACATCAGTGCTTCTTATGCCTCAGCACAAAGCAGCCTTGCGCCTGCAGTGACACTAGCCAATGGCTCCAGGAAGTGCAGCATAGACTCCAAAAGCAGCAGGGTAGTGGTGACACACAGGTGGCTGCACCACACGCCATCCTGATGTCAGAACCTCCTGTCCGCTGCACAGAGCTGGCTGCAGGCAGTGCTGTGTGACTGTGGCACCTCTGGGTGGGTCTCCCTAGCCTTGGAGGCCTCGAGGTGAGACCACATAGTACACACTGGAGCAGGGCCCTGGGCTGGTGGGGCACATGGTGCTGTGTACACCACAGAGTCCTTCTCAGCTCTGCAGAACTGCACCCCTGTGTGGCTGCTGTAACACGAGGCCTGGGCTAAACCTGAACAGACAAAAGGAGAAGCGCTATAAAGCAGCAGCAACGACAACCACTGTGATGGGGGCAAGCACCCTCAAGAGCAGCACTAGCACATTTCTCAGGGCTGTCTGGAGAAACAGCCTGCTGCCATGCATGTGCTTTGGAGTCACCACCCGGCTCTAGGGACAGCTCTGGACTCTAGGATCCTGACTTAGCAGAGCAGCCGTGGCTGCGCCCACCACCGAGAGCAGGGCTGCTGTGCGCGATGCCTGTGGCTTCCGGGCTCACGCACAGGAGCTCCATTCACCTCAGCGAGAGCAGTGATCCTGACATCAGAGGAGGAGCTCAATGCCAGCCAGCCTCACCCTGACAGGGAGACCTTCACCCTTGCCTGCAGCATCCGACCAACAAGCAACAAAACAGGGCCTGACCTCCATCCTGACATTAGGCAGAACAGGCCTATGAACGGCAAAACCCACAGCTGCATGAGGCCTGCAAACTCCGCAGGGCCGGAAGCGCCGCCTGCAGGCGGGGGTCACAGACTCCCCCGTGGTGGATCGTCGGCACTGAGTCATCACTGAGAGCCTGGCCCGTGCTCTGGAAAGTATCAGCAGGGTCAGCAGCCCCAGGGGTGGTGGGTGACCTCATACAGTAGGTCTTTTCCATCTCCTGCGCTGATGACCTCACATGGCAGCTGCCCAGACAGCACCATCAAAAAGAAAATAAAGCCCAGCCCACAGCCATGGGAGATCAGGCCCCCCTGCCACTCTCTCTTGTTGGACTATTTTCTCATTCACTCCACTCCTGGTGAGGTAGGAAGGCTGTCTTGCCAGGAACTGCAGGAAGGGATGGCCTCTGCCACCCAGTAGTGTCACCTGATGTCCCCTGACAAGGCCCCCCAGCCTTAGCTGGGCAGGCCACACACAGCCCTGGCAGCTCCTCTGCTGTCTCTAGCACCCCGTCACTCTGAAATGTGATCGCGTTTACAGCCACGCGTCGTGTCTCGTTCCAGCCCGAGAAGGGCCCGTGAATGACTTGCTGAGTTCACAGGCCCATCTGTGTGTGTACGCTCTGTGATGTTCCCACGACGACGCAGTCTCCCGCTGGGCCAGGCTGTTCTTAAGTGACATGTGACTGCTGACACGGAGATACACTTCTGGGCGTGAGGCTCCAGCCTACACACTGCAGCCTCTGCACATGAGAAAGCCGGGCTCCAGCCACACTACCTGTGGGGGGCCAGGCCCTGCCAGATCCTGGGCACCATTAGCCTTACTTTTCTCTTAAAGACAAGAAGGCAGGGAGGGAACAGTGTGCATCACGGGTGCATGAGGGGCTGAGACCCCTCCTCTGCAAAGCCCAGGTCTACAGCAGTGAGTGACCTGGCGGGCGTTCCAGAGTAGGGCACTCGGCCTCCATCGTCCTGTTTTGCCTCACACCATGTCCACATACTCTCAGAAAAGAGAAATATGAGATTACAGCGCATGACTGCACATGATGTGTTCTGGCTTTTCATTCTCCAATCTTTCTAGACAGAGGCTGAGAGTCGCCAGCGCTATGCGGTGCACCCAAGCACCGCTCCACCCTCGTCACACATGCTACCTCAGCCCGCCCTCACAGACTGCTTCACAGCAAGTGCTGGACACCGCCCTGACTCGAGCCTCTGGGCTCAGGCAGCCCCAGCAGTGAGGCTTGCTGACTCACTGCAGGGAGGACCTCGTGAAAACCTGCAAGAAAGATTCAGACTAATAGTATTTGGACAGGATATCGTGTCTGCATCTTGTACTATGAATAACCACTAAGAAGATAACAATATGCATTGTATTAATTATTGAAACTGTCTTATTAAAATTAAAAAAAGAAAGAAAGAAAGAAACTGTACACCCCTAGAACTGGGACGAGAGCCTCCCAAATCCGGAGGAGGCCCGACACAGCCAGGGACCCAGAGCATCTGCAGAGCTGTCTGCATTAAGAACAGCATGATCAACACCCACAGACCAGGAGTGAGAAGGGGATGCATCCAGGACCTGAGATTCAAGAGTCAACCCAAACAGTGACATGAGTCTCCTCACCATTGCAGTGTGCTTGCTGACTGGACGGAAGCTCAGTGAAGCACACTTGCAGGTGTATCTGGCTGGCCAGGGGTGTGTGAGCTCAGGGAGTCCTTGCTGGCCACTTCCTGCTCTGCTTTCTGTGGCCATGCCCTCCAGGAATGATGCTCTCGCCATGAAGCCACTGCTCACGCTGAGCCTCCTTTTCCTGCAGACTGTGTGTGTCCTATTGCAGTGCGGAACAGCCAACTGACAGGCAGGAATGCTGGGGAAGCCAGGACGGCAGGCTCCACCCAGCAAACATTATCATGAGGGTGAGTAGGCAGGTGCCAGCCATGTGTGAAGGCGGGCTATGAGGCCAAGAGGCCACAACCTACAAGGGCCATCTCTCTGACAGAGATGTCCTGTGTCCCTGCACATCTACCTCTGACTCTTAAGCTAAGTGGTCCAAGTGAACTGCTCTTTTTCTATGCACAGTGAGTCTGCAGCTCAAGTAGGGATCTGCACACCCTGTGGCTTTGCCTACTGAGCAGAGTAGTGACATGGATAGCCAGCCACTGTTAGGGTCTTATTCCCAACTTCCCTAACAATGGCTGGTTTGGGATACTACAAGTAAAGGTTGGATGCTATTCACCCTTTGATTTGGAAACAATCCATTGATTTTTGAGCCTTAAAAATAGAAATCATTTCAAACAGCCTATTAAGAACCTTGGTCTGGCTGCCAAAATGCACTTGAAATTAATTAATACTGAAAAATTGAAAAGAGGTCTTTATAGCTATTAGATCAGCAGACAAAGAAAATGACTACATTAACCTTCAAAGCACCAGTGCCTCTGGAATGCTGGTGGCCTTTTTCCTTTAAGAGAGGCTGAAGTAATTAAATAGGCCGTGCACATTCCATGCAGCAGGAGATGGAAAGAATGGGACTCATGAAGTCTGGCCAAACCCAGGAACAGTTGTTGCTCTGTGGTCCAGGATGACAAGCTGTCTGGTCGTCAGCACCAATGTTGCCAGCCTCGCAACACCCAGGGCCTCCCCACAAGCCCTGGCTAGCTGCAAGTTGAGGACTGGCTTCACGACGGATGCTGCCCAAGTCCCTGGCACACTGAGAAACACACGGTCACCAGGAAACAGCACCTATGTGGGAACTACCCGGCTACACGCACTGCAGGCTACAGAGAAAGAGAGCAACAGTGCACACAACACGGGCAGGACAGAGATGCATATGATGTGAGCAGGGGCACTCAGGGCACTTCAGCTTGGGGGTAGTTGGCAGGTGGCAAGTGCCGCTCTCCACAAGCAACAGAACTGGGCTCCCTCAGCATCTGTGGCAGAGAAGTGGGGGCAGCCTGGGCAACTCAGGTGGAACTGGAGACATAGCTGAGCACACCAAGTCCACCAGGGTTCCCAGGGCCACTCTCCTCCTCCATGACCCCAAGGAAGGCTCTGGGCCCTCTGACCTCCCCATCTCCCAGGGCCCCAGAGGATATGGGGAACAACAGCCCACCTGCAGTGGGACACACTGCCGGGTGTGCCTCAAGAACAGACGTGCAGAGCTCAGCCTCCCACTTGCCCGTGTGGAGAGGCAGGAAGCAAACCATGGAGATCTTGTGTACTGAGGCCATGTGGCGTCCCAGCCAGACAGCAGCTGCACATACATATCATCCAGGGCCAGGCTGTGTGTCTGCGGCCTGTCACATGCAGCACCCAAGACCACAGGACCCAGGGGAGGGGACACCCCATACTCCCAAGGCACAGCCAGGTGCAAGCAGCTGCCCTGCACAATCTGCCCTCCAGCCAGGACCCTGAGCATGCCTGTACAGCGCTCACGCCTCAGAGGGGGGCAGCAGGCTGGCTGCCCTCTGCAGTGCTATGCTGACTCACCTGGAAACAGAATTCTCCTGCAGGGAGAAATCAGCAGCCATTTAGGAACAGAGCTGGTGAGGACCAAGCTGTCTGCAGCTCTTAACAGTTCTGCCAGGCAGCAATTCTGCACTGTGGCAGGGTGAGAGGGTGAAGTCCTCATCCACAGTGAAGCAGGGTCAGTGTGGCCCACCCCTTCTAGTCCTCACAGCTGCACTGTTTGGAGCCCCTGGCAGGAGGGACCCCAGCTGTAGTCCCCATGCAGAGGGGACTCAGACAAGAAGGCAGGCTGGGTCTGCGGGAGCCGTGGGCTGCACAAATGGGTGGCACTCGCCCCTCCTGGCTGCCAGTCTCACCAGGAACAGCACTGGACAGCAAGGCCCGGTCTCTCCAGCAGTCCCTGACGCTCCCAGCCTCCAGCCCGACATGTGAGGCACCCATGAAGACAGCCAGGGCTTGGGAGAGCTCTGCACCCTCGCAGCCCTCACAGAGGGTGCCCTTCCCTTGGGAGACCTGCACTGCACATGTGGCGGCTCAGGACTGGAAACACAGGAGACAGCTGACCCCACCTCAGCGGGTGGATGCCTGCACTCTCTCTTGCACAGCCCATCTCTTCACACCCAGACATGCAGGAGGCCTGGTTGGGCGTGAGGGAGACCAGCTCAGCACTCCAGATGGGACAGAGGCCAGCGCCGTGCCCACAACACTGAGCCCCTCCCACCCTTCTAATATCATTCAGTAGGGCCCCCAATGACCTGCTTTCTAGTCCAAAGGCAAAGCCACACCGCCTTTGCTATTTTCAAGCTAACAAACAGATGCCAATAGCAACAGAAAATCTACTCAGATCATTAAGAAAACTGGAAATCGGTAGGACTACAAAACTTACAGAAAACAGCCCAACTTGGCAAGCAGTGGATACGTGGTGCAAACGGGCTGCTGCTCTACTGTCTCCGGGATACTTCTGATGACACACATGCGCAGGCTGTGCCTGCACAGCCAGTGCTCAGTGCTGTAGGGGCTACCAGCGGGGTCCTCTAACTCACACAGGCCAACACCACCTGCGGCAGACAGCACCACCCACGGTGGGCTCCCTCCGATGCCCCTGCCTCAGATGCTACCACAAGCCCAGGCTGTCTCCCCTGGGGTTCTGATTCCCACCCTGCTGCCAAGCGGGGTCTCCTCATCCCCTCCTTGAGATGGATGCCCCTCACCCCATCACAGGGACTGGGCCAGGGAACGCTTGCCCTGTCAGGACTGTGTCAGGCTGCAGGCAAGTGCTCAGGGCTGGTATGGGGAGGCTGGGCTTCCTGCCCTCCCTGGCCCCACCCTGCCCATGTCCAGATCCCAGGAAGCCCTAAGCCCTGGCCTTGCGGTTTTGGAAGCTTCTTGATGAGGGCAGGACTGAGTTGCTGGGCCATGGAGGTCGGCTGGATGCTCAGTTCTTCTGCCCTCCTGGAGGCCGGGTGGGGCTGGGAGTCCCAACCCTGGGACCCTGCCTTGGTCTTCTTGGGGCAGCCTGTGCTGAAGCTACCTGGGCTGGCTGGTAAGCGGCAGGCTCATTAGTACACGTGTGTCCCAGAGCACAGGATTTGGGAACTATGCACCAAACCCACATTTCAGGATACATGATAGCCTGCAGCATGCACCAGTGCCGGGCGAGCAACAGCCTGAGTCTCAGTGACTCACAGAGTACAAAACAGGAGGAAGCACCTTCTCTTGAGCACAGTGAAACAAACTAGCAACCTGGAACATTCACAGACAGGCAGAGACACTAAGCAGCAGCTCTTCACCAACCAGCAGGAGTCAGTAAATTCTGTGAGACGAAGGAAAATGAAGACAAAGCACACAAAGTGACCCTGGGACACAAGGGCTCGGACAAAGATATCAGTATGACACAGCGCCCTGGCAACGCCGGGGAGAAAGCAGGGGTGCCGGGCCCACCCTCCGGAGCACCCCCAGATCCAGCACAGGAGCCTCGTCAGCTGGCCAGGGCACTGCTGAGCGCACACGGCTTTCCCTGGCCCAGCAGGATGCCTGTGTCTACTAGCTGGCCAAGGGAGAAAGCCTCCTTAGCTGGCCACAGGAGAAAGCAGGGGTGCTGGGCCCACCCTCTGGGAGCACCCCCAGATTCAGCACAGGAGGCTCCTCATTTGGCCAGGGCACCGCTGAGCGCGCACGGCTTTCCCTGGCCCAGCACGGTGCCTGTGTCCACTAGAGCCACACTGTGCCCACCCTTGGCACCTGGAGCTGCAAGGCAAGACAGAACCAAAGAGCGTGCCAAAAACCACGGGGAGCAAGGTCTGTGCAGAGGAAGGGATCCCACTGGTGCAGGGGGCCCCAGAGACTTCAGGGAGGCAATGGGAACCCGAGAACCATCAGTGAATTCCATGCAGCTTCCGGAGTGAGACCAATGTAGCAATAATCAGCTGTTTCTACAGGGTGACAACAAAACCTAGGAAGGGAAGTTGGGAAAATACTTGCACTTCAGATGGCAGCCTCTGAAGAATAGCAGTTTATCCAATACGGTAAACTTGGGTACTGACAATACAAAATATTTCTGAAAATTAGAGAGTAAGTAAGTGGGAGGACAGGCTGCGTTTCTAGGCCACAGACTTTATGCTGTAACAGCTATTGCAATTCCTAAGCATTTCTAAGGTTGAAAAAGCTGATCCTCAAATTTTTGTAGAACCACGGACCCAGGGCCTCCAAAATAATTTGGAACTAGAAGTAGCAGGAAGATTTACACTTCCCAGTTTCTAAGTTTCCTAAAGATCTGCAGAAGCGGGGCTGGTGAGATGGCTCAGTGGTCTAAAGCACCTACTTAGAACAAGCTTAGCTAAAGCACAGGGACCACGGTTCAAACCCCCAGCACCACATGCCAGCCAGCCTCGCCCCCAAGTGGGCTGAGCTGGCCACACACACACACACACACACACATAAATAAAAAAAAAAAAAAAAGAGATGGGCCACAGGGCCTTTGAGGACAAATCTGGTTCCTTCCTTGTCTCTAGTCTGCTGCTGTGAGGTGAGTGCTGCCCTCTGCTACCCCTTACACCATGCTCCTGCCTTGGAGCCACCAACCAGGGACTGAACCCTCCCAAACCGTAAGCCAGATGAATGCCTCTATGATTTCCCAAAAGGCAAGCAAATGCAAAGTCAGGGAGGGCATCACTTTCTTAGCTCCCCAGTCAGCAGAGCACCCCATCTAGCCTCCAAGGCAGGTGGATGTGGGGCTGGTGTGGCCTCCCAGGGGGCTTCGCTCTCCTCTGTGCTGCTCCTGAGGTAACCGGCTTCCACTGCACCCAGCAGATGACTTAGTTTTCCTTTTAAGTTCTGTGTCTCTTGCTTACTATTTGTGACAATGCTGTGGTACATTAAGTAATGGTCAACTCAAGTGGGAACCCTCAGCTGAACTGGGCCAGCGTGGCTCTGGGTATGGAAGACCCACCCGAGGACAGCTGCTAGAATAGCGTAAAAGGAAAATGGGAGGGGAAGACGGAGTGCTGTTGATTTTCCTCAGGAAGCTGGTATTTTCGGTGCTCTTCCTTCAGAGGAGCTCTGGCTGCTGTCTTCTTTGGGAGAGCTTCAATCCTCATCTTCACCTTAGATGTGGTCTCTTGGCTTCAAGTACAGATCTCAGCCTTGTAGTGCAGGTGCTTTCCCTGTCAGCACAGGCTTTCTAGCTTCCAGCACTGGCCCTGGGGCCTTTCTGGTGCAGATCCTTGCTGGGACTTAGACAGCCACTGCCATGGGCTGCAAGCTGTCCCCCGGATCCTTCAGGTTTTAGTGCACAGAAAGACATCGGCAGCCTTCTACATCTGACTCTAGTAATCACTGACTAGTATAAGTGTTGTCCCTGGCAGAGTGAAGGGCACACAAAGTTCAAGACAGGACGGCAGCTTCCTGTGACCACAGCCGCGGCCCTGACTCTCTCCGGGCCAGGCCTGGAGAGGAGGGAGCCTCCTGCTGATGGGAGTGCCTGCCCTCTCCAGACCTACAGCAGTGATGCAGCATCTACACCACGCCCAGACTGGTGTAGTGTGGCTCTAGTGCACACTGCAGCTGCGCTCAGAGGTATATGCTGGGACAGCCTGGGCCCTGCCAGACCAGACCCGCGGGCGGGCTGCCTTCAACCCCCGCTCCTCCTGCGCCAGCCGCAGTGACGTGGCAGATGGAGGCCTCAGACCATGAGAGGGGGCTGCAGGCACCCACGTGCTGCACTCCTGTCCCCACACAGTTTCAGCCACCTCCCCTGTGCCCCAACTGCAACTGAAATCACCAGGATACATCTCAAGGAATGGCATTAACAGCAGTTGCCACCAAAACCACAGCTGGATGGAGGAGGATTTCTTGGATTTTTGTTTCTCCACAAATTTAACTCTTTCCTTCTTTGGCCTGAGCTTTAGCTGTACTGCCACAAATTCTTCTCCAAATACAAAACATGTGTCTCTTGGTGTAAAATGAGGCCAGCCCTCCTGACCCATGTAGCCCTCTCCCTGCCCCCAGCCCAGCCTGCAAGACCACCAGGACCTGGTGGTCCGAGGCCCCATCCTGACCCATGGGGACAGTCTGGGAGAGCCCAGTCACCAAGGCACCCACTCCACCACAGCTCTGTGTGCTCCTCCTGACATCTGTTTACCTTGCTCCTGGCTGATTCCTTTTGTAGTACCGGGGTGGAACTCAGGGCTTTTGCACTCAGCTACACCCCAAGGCCTTTCTCTCTTTTATTTTGACAGGGTCTCAGTTGCTATGCTGGGACGACAGGCGTGTCATGACACCCAAGCCGTGCTGGCTGCCCAGGTACAGGATGGCAGAGACTGGGATTTAGGGGCTAGGAAGGCCCCTCCAACCACAGCCAGATTTGAGTGACAGGGAAGGCACTCCCCTTCCTCTATGAGTGCAGCTGCTCCTTCAGCCTAAGTACCCCTGGCCAGACCCTGCAGTAGTCGGCTGTGAACCCAGGTCTCTCCCGCTGCCCCTGGACCCAGGGGCAGGTGCTGGCGAGTGTGAATGGACCTGCAGAATGTGCTGCTCAAGCTCAAGCACATATCCTGTCTGCACACGACTGAGGCAGACCAGGGGTAAAGTGCCAAAGACAAATGTTCTTCCCTAGATGGGAGCCAAGCTCAGAGCACGGGGTCTGTGAGACTGGAAGACGAGTACCGTGTCAGTCTCTACACAGGCTCAGCAGGCTGCTGTTGCTCTGCCCCAGTGGATACAGGCAGCGCCTCCTCGCGGGGTCTCAGGATGCCTAGATGCGGACATATGTGTCTGAGGGGCCAGGGCTAAGCTGGGCACCTCTGCGAGTCTTGGCTGAGTGCAGGAGGGCACGTGTCATTGGGAGGACAGGGTACACCCGAGACACAGGAGGGACCACTCTTCTTTTTAAGGTGATATTCAAGACAGGACGGTAGCTTCCTGTGAGCACAGCCGCTGCCCTGCGGCAGCCTGTGGTGGGGCCGCAGTCCTCTGGCCCTGACCCTCTCTGGGCCGGGCCTGGAGGAGAAGGAGCCTCCTGCCGATGGGAGTGCCTGCCCCTCTATCTAGTAAAGACACACACAGAAATATCTGTAAGTGAAGTGCTATAATGGCCGGGTACTGCTCCAAAATGATACAGGAGAAAACAGCATTACACTGTCAGTAAGACTACAGAAGACTAGTGAAAAACACCCACGTCAAACATGGAAATTTCAACGTTCTGGGGAAAAGCTTAAGCCTCCTCCAGAACACAGCTCTGAGCAAGCCAGTGCACACTCAGGCATATGGACACACACAGGCACACGTAGGACACACACATGCAGCATGTACATAATGCACAGTGCATACAGCACCCAGCCCACACAAGCATGTGCACACACACATGCACAGGCCAGTTCTGCCAGCTGAGCGAGTTTCACGGCCGAGTGCAGCACCGAGTGGGCAGCCCTTCCTTTTCTCCTTCAGGGTTGGGGACCGTGGCCTCCATTCCCCCCAAGGAGGCAGGCCAGACTTACCTGGGTCAGCTTCTGGGCATCGTCCTCAGGAAGCAGCGGCTGGGCCTTCTGTGGCTGTGGCCACCTGCCCTCTTGGCCTCCTGTGGGCACAACACAGCCCATGAGCCCGGATGCTGGAACGGAAAGCTGAGGTCAGCGGTGATGTTTTTCAGAAGGCAAAACCACACACAAGTGCTTGGAACTTCACAGGGCAGTCAAGCCTGCTGCGGGTGCTGGCCTGGCTGCATGTCTGGGTCCACAACTCCTGAGCGTCAGCTCTGTGGACCCCCATGACTAACTTTGTCTTTCTAAAGAACAGCCCTTTACCCAGCAGTGACTGACTCTATCTAAGGAAAAGAAAAGTAAAGATGTGGACTACAAAACCCAGAATCACTGAACTGTGGTGGAAGGCCCATAAAACACATCACCAGGAAACTGCAGGATGGCTGAGCTGCTCCACAGGGCACTGCGGCTCACAGAGCACAGGAAAGGGCCAGCCTTGGGCCAAACTCCACTGCGTGTGCCCGCCGGCTGTGGGGTGAGCTGCAGCTGTCCAGTGTCTCCCAGGTTCAGGCTTCGGCCTCGCTGAATGCCTGCACCCAGGATAGGGCAGGGCTGCGGAGGGTGCCAAGTGCACAGTGAGGCAGGGCTCCTGGTGGCTATTGCAGAGTGCCTCCTGCCCAGTACCCAGCAGCTCCAATTGCACCCAGGCTTGCCTTCTCTGTAATGCAGGCTCTGTAAATGACGACGCAGTACTGACCAGGCAGTGAGGAAAGGGAAGGTGCTGCGCCTCCAGGCCTCTTTCCTGGGCCACAGGATGGGACACTGTGGCTTGTAGGCCCTGCTGGACACACCAGGAAGGGAAGCCCTGCCCCAGGAGAGGGCAGAAGGCACCTTGCTGGCCTGAAGGCAGAGCTGTGCTAGTCAGCACACACCACGCTGACCAGCAGGCTGCCCCGTCTTGCCCAGGAAAGGGATTAGGCACACGCCACCCCTACTCTCCTGACCTCCTGCAGATGATCTCATGGCCACTTCCTGGCCCTGTCCAAGATGCCTTCAAGTGGGCAGGGTGAGGAAGGCAGGCCAGCCAGGGGGCAGGGAGGCCCTCTGGCACTACACCCCTCTGTGCCTCTTGGCTTCTGAGCTTGCACATGCAGGAAACTGCCTTGGGACTTATCTCTGGGACCACTGCTCTCCTGTCCTGTTCTTGAAAAGCAACTGACTGCTGCTCTCTGCCTCTGTCCAGCGCTGGTCCTACAGAGATCCCCACACAGCCCTCAGGCCCTCCACAGGACAGCAGGCCCTAGCACAAGATGCTGCAGAGATCAGGAGGAGCAGGGATGCCTGCTTCACGTGTGGGCAACAGCAACCCCTCTGTTGGCCTGTGGCTCCCAACTCTGTGCACGTCCTTGGTGGGGCCCCCACTGCCTGTGCACCTCCACAGTTGGAACCCTGCACCCACCAGACAGTACTCCTCACCACGGAGACTGAGGAGGTGATGCGTGCCACAGTGGCAGGTGGCCAGGGCGCTGCTGCTTGGTCCCAGGGCATTTGGAGATGGCTGAGGAGAGTGACCATGACCTCACCTCCCAGGAAGGAGCCCTGGGAACATGCTGAGCAAGGGACCCTGACAGGGGTGTGTGCTGGCCTTAGGAGAGCCACCTGCTGGGCAAAGCTGCACTGCGACTGCACACCTGTCCACATAAGAAGGGGGGCAGGGAAGAAGGAACGCTCCTGGGCAGCTCTCTCCTGGTGGCTTCCTGGCCAAGCAGGTATCCCAGCAGGGCACCTAATGCCACAGGACATGGGTGGGGCCTGGGACAGCACCAAACACCCCAAGCCTACAGACCCAGCAGCTCAGGACATTCTGAGCACCAAATTGGTGAAAAGCCCATACAGCGAGCCTGGCTTCCATGCATGCTGTCAGCACTGCTATGAACCATCACAGACCATGTGCAGCGGTGTGCACGGAACAAGCCCTGTGCTCAGATCTGGGCCCTTCTCAAGACATCCGCAGCCTACACAGACACACCAGCATCCGGAGGCCCATACTCAATGTCCATACGCACCTCCCCTCACAGGTCTGAGGGGCTAAGCAGAGCCTTGGCAGCCTGCAGGGGCCTCCTCATCCTCCATCCATGCCGGACCTCACAAGCCACTCCTGCTGCAAAGCCCTGCGGGCGTGGTGACACTGCCCCCATGTGGCTGCAGCAGGTAGTACCTAAGTCGGCACTTGTGCCAACTCTAGACAGCGGAGGGTCAGCGAGGCTACAAGGCACAGCCCTGCACCATACAGCCCTTCGGAGCACCCAGAGCATGAAGGCTGCTCACGCCACCTCCTACCTCCCCTGTTCCTCATCTCTTCCTGAAGCCCTGCTCTTGCTCTAACCCAGGATGCTGTGGGCTGTGGCACACCCAGCTGTACCTGGTGCCAGGCTCTGCTGACCGTGACGCTCACACTGGCCCCACACGCAGGGGTAGAGCATGAACAAACACTCTCCACTGCACTGCCATGTTCGCAAAGCCACAAGCCCAACATGCAGTCTCGGGCCTGGAGAGGTCTAGTCAACGCCAGAGTAGGGAAGAGGGAGGGGAGTGCTGAGCGCCAGATGGGCCTGGCACATCCTTCTGCATAGGGTGCCACAGAAGCCCTGTGCTGTGTCCTCACGTGCAGCACGTGTGTCCACAGTGTTCAGTGCTAGCAGCCTGGCCCTGGGGGATGACGGGGTCACGGGCTGAGAGGACCCCGGAGAGTCCTTAGGTTAGAGCGCATCCTTCCAGGTGATGGGTACTGCAAGGGGAGGAGCGGGCCCAGGCGTGCTCTGGCTCCTGGGTCGCAGTGTGCTCTCTTCCTGAGGCTTTTTTCCTGATTTCAGGCCTTGAGCTTCCAACCCAACCAGCTGGAGCCCTCGCCTTTACTCCTAGCTGCTAACACTGCTGTGCTCAGCAGCACAGCCACACTAGGGGACCCTTCTGACTGGCTTTGAGCTACATTCTACTAAAGACTCCCAAGCAATGAACACAAAAGGAGCCAGGTCTAAGCTCCTCTGGCCTTGCAGGACCCAGTTCCAGACCACATCCCCGTGACAGACCTCCCCCGGGGCCCTGCCCCTACGGGTCCTCTGGCCTCCCATGGGCTCCCCCAGGGGAACAAGCTCACAGCACTGGGGTCTCTGACGACCCCAGTACCTAGAGGCTGCCCAGCAGATGACACAGTGGGCCGGCAGCCATACACTGCAGCCGCCCCCCCCCCCCCCGTCTGTGCACAGCCCAGCTGCTCACCTGCTGGTCTTGCCAGGGAAGCTGCTCTTGAACTTGAGAGCAGTGTGGGGTCTCTCAGCTGCTCGACCTTCTCGCTGAATCGCACCTCTAAAACAGGGATGAGCTCCGGCATCCTGGCAGACAGCACGCGGAAAGCCACGTCAGGCTTCCCGGTGCACCGCTGGCAAATGCTCACCTCGTACGGTGAGTGGACCTTAACACTGTCCACCTCTGCCCTCTGGAACCTGTGTAGAAGCATGGCGCTGGCACCATGGATTTCCAGTGCAGACACCAGCACGGTGAGCCTTCCTGGCTGGGTGCGCGACTCTGCTCCGCGGGAGATCACTGCAGGCACTTGGATCACAACCTCGTCCTTCCCACATGGCTCACCGCTGGCCCCAGAGACTGCTCCCCTGGGCTTCACTTCTTCTGGTGTCTTCCAGAGCTTGGAACTAAAAGGCCACCAGGACGGGGACTCCAGTTCTGTCAGCAATCTGAAAAAGCAAAGAAAAACCTGAGCCAGCAGTTAAAGAGTGATGCTTTTTGCATTCTAGAAGACTGCACCAGGATTCCTCAACATTATCACCTATGGCCAGTCTTCCCTAAGGCGCCAGCCAGCAGGCACAGCAGGGCCACCACCTGCACGTCTGAGGTACGGAGCCAGAGGTGCAAGGCATGGCACGCAGTGCCCGGAGGAGCCCAGCGGACAGCACGATGGGCCCAGGGAGCTCTCCTTGGAGCTCCTCTGGCTTCAGGCTCTGGACAGCTGAGTGTGGCATGTTCTACGTCCATGCTGCCTGGCAGGCGAGGAGGCACCTATAGCCATCACACACACTTACAGCGCAACCAGTGCAACTGAGGAGCTGCGTTCTTAGTTCAGTTTGAGCTGCCATGTGGGACAGCACACTCCAAAGGAACCAGCGACACCACCAAGAGCTGTCTTGTTTGAGTCAAAACAAAAGAAGCAAATGAAGGAAGGACAGGAAAGCAAAGGTCAGATGGGGCAGACAGGAAGCACACAGCAAGAGTAAAATGACGCTGACCCACATTTAATATTCACACTGCGTGGACATGGACTGGATACTCTAGACAAAGGGCTGATGGGCGCCCTGAAGGGCCAGTGTAGCTTGTTTCCAAGATGTTCTGTAAAGCATGAAAACACAGATGCATGGAGAGTAAGGGGTTGCACACAGATATACTACACATCATGCTAAAAGCTAAGGAGTACTTCCAGGGGCAGTGCGTGGTCATAAGAGAATCAGCCCAACAGAAAGACTTAACAATACTGTGTGCAAGCACTTAATAACAGGACTTCAAGATTCACCAAGCAGATGGCTCAGCAGAATAAGTGCTTCCCTGGCAAGCACGAGGGCCTGAGTTCAATCCCTGGTTTCGCAAAAAAAAAAAAAAAAAAAAAAAAGATTCACCAAGCAAAAACTGACAAAACTAAGCACTCAGAAGGCTAATGCAGGGAATCACTTTGAGTCCAGGGCCAGCCTGGGCTACAAAATGAGCTCAAGGCCAGCCTGCACTGCATAGTGAAACCCTGTCTCAAAGACAAAAAACAAGCAAACACTAAACAGGGGAACAGATGACCACCGCTACAGGTTTGAACACATTTCTCTCAGTGATGAACTATTTTAATGGGTCTGTTTAAGCAGCTCCCAACTGGCAGTGGTAGAAACATCAGTCAGCAATCACAGAGTGTGCACCGCACCAACCACACAGGAGACACCAGGAAAGGACAACAGTGCCGAGTGCCAGCAGTGGTCTGTCCACGAAGAGAAGGCAGAGGAAGTCAGGAGCTCTGGGCTATCACCCAAGTCCTGAATGCAAAGTAGTCACATATTTAAGTGATACATAGACCCAAAACAAGCAAAAAGGACCTCGGAAAAATTTAAAGTGAGTGAAGATATAATATTAAAAAATGACAAGAAAATGACAGATTTTAGAGAGAAACGCATAGATTTTGGTGTGTTTGTGTGAAAATTTCATTTAAAAAAGGGTTTAAAGTCAGTGATCTAAGCTAGAGTTTGTGCCACAGCTCATTGGCAGGGCACCTGCTTTGCTTAGCATGTATGAGGCCCTGGTTCCACCCCAGCACCACACACATGCGTGCATGAGCACATGCACACATGCACACACACACGCACATACCCCTATCCTAGTGCAAATTAGTTTCAGAAGAAATGAAACACAGGAACCAACAAAACTGAAACCAAAAAATAAATAAATAAATAAATAAAGCGTTACCAAAACCAAAATTTGGGTTTTTGAAGTGATTTTAAAAAATTAAACTAGCACTAACAAGAAATGATCAAAGAAAGAAGAGAAAATACAAATCACCAACATTAGGAATTAGAAAAGTATTCATTACCACAGAGCTTGCAAGTCTTACAGAGCTGGGTGTGGTAGCACACATCTATAATCCTAGCACTAAGGAGGCTGAGGCAGGAGGATCCTTGTAGTTTGAGACCAGCCCAGCCTAGGCTACAAAGTGAGTGTAAGGCCAGCCTGAGATTCATAGAAGACCCTGTCTCAAAAAGACCAAAAAGGGGCTGGGGAGATAGCTCAGTAGAATAAGCACTTCCCTGGCAAGTGCAAGGGCCTGAGTTCAACCCCCGGTTCCAGAAAAAAAAAAAAAAAAAAAA